GCCAATTTTCTATTGCATGATGAATTAACAGAACTTAAACTTTTAAGACTGTAGCATGAAAGATCGTGTAAGAGGCCAGCCCTGTCATATACAATCCAACAATGATCAAAAAAGGGCATTAAGCAGCTAGATGGCGCAATGGATAGAGCTCTAGACTTGGAGTCAGGAGGACCTGAGTTCAAATCCAGCCTCAGACACTTGACACTTACTAGCTGTGTGACCCTAAGCAAGTCACTTAACCCCAAATGCCTCACCAAAAAGCAAAAACAAAACCAAAAAAAGGGCATGAAATTAATCCATCAATCAATTAACAAGCATCTATAAAGCCCTATGTGGCAGGCACTGTGTTAAAAATGCTGGAGGTACAAAAAGAGTCAAAAGATAATTCTTACCCTTAAGAACCTTACAATCTAATAGGACAGACAACATGCAAACAAAAATATACAAAGCAAGCTTTATACGTGATAAATGTGAAATAATTAAAAGATGAAAAATGCTGGAATTAAGAGGGGTTGGGGAAAGCTTTCTATGGAAGGCAGGATTTTAGCTGGGTGGGTGGGACTTAAGGGAAGCCAGAGAGGTCAGTAGTCAAAGAGGAGGACAGAGTATGTGCCAGGCATGGGGGACAGCAAGAGAAAATGCCCAGAGTCAAAAGATAGAGTGTTTTGTTCATGGAACAGTTAGAAGGCAAGTCTGACTGGACAGAAGAGTATGTGTTGGAGAGTAAGGTGTAAAATGTAGAAGGTATCTAGGTAATAAGGGTGGATTTAAAAAAGGAGGAATTTTTTTTTAAAGGAGGAATTAAAAGGACAGAAAGAAAAGGTATAAAAAAGGATCAGGGTCAGTGTGAGGGGAAGAGAGGAAGAGCAGTGGTTTAGAAACTGATCACTTCAATTACAAATCACTAGTAATTATACTCCTCTCTTCCAGCAATACCGTCTTCTTTTTTTGGGGGGGGTGGTGAAAGGGGGAATCAGAAAGGGCAGGAAGGGAGGTGATAAAGATGGCAAATGTAAACTATATAGGAGGACATAATGGACGGTAATATATAATAATCACAACAATGAATGTGAATGGGATGAACTCACCTATAATATAGAAGAGGAAAGCTTAATGGATTAGAAATCTACATGCAAAAATATGTTTATAATTTAAAAAAACTAACAGAAAAAGAAACAAAGATTTACAAAGAATTAAAATGAGGAGCTGGAGCAGAATTTACTGTGCTTCAGGTGAATTCAGAAAGGGTAATTCATCATTAACTCAGGCAAGGCAACACTATGATTAGGAATATTTTTTTGAAATAAACAGGTACGGGGTACGTAGGTAGCACAATGGATACAGCACTGGCTTTGGAATCAGGAGAATCTGAGTTCAAATCCAGCCTCAGACACTTGACGCTTAACTAGCTGTGTGACCTTAGGCAAGTCACTTAACCTCAACAGCCTTGCCAAAAAAAAATAAAAAACAGACAGGTAAATTATATCATGCATAAAATCACCATAAAATCACCATTTTATGGTACACTGACAATGCAATGTCAATGTCATTGTCAATGAAATATGACCAATACTTAAATAATGAAATAAAATCGATGCACCAAATGTCCCTGCCCACCTTTCCAACCTATAAAAATCTAACAAAAGATAAACAAGTAAGACATTTAGGACTTGAACATAATTTTAGTCAAGTTTGAGATGACAGCTCTCTGGCAATTATTGAATTTATGTACATGGAATGTTTACAAAAGTTGGCTTTTGTGAAAGGCAAACATGGTGGCGCCCAGAGGAAGACCACCCACATTGCAGTGAGTGTGAGCTGCAGTAGAGACTGCTCTGCAACTTTTTCACTGCCAGATCAGAGCACCAGGACTCAAGATGTAATATAATCAAGAAAATACAGAAAGATTAAGAATCAATGAAATCATAGCCAGCAAAGTGGAACAATTTCCATAATCGGATCAGAATTTACTTATCACTGGATCAGCTTATGTTGGACTAAATGCAGCTTTTTGTGGCCTAACAGTTTTTTCCGAGGTATCTTAAAAATGACACATGCTCACACAATATCAGCTGTACCAATGGTTGCTCTCCCATTATTGTCAACCTATGTAACTTACAAAAGTTTGAGTTCAGGTGATCTAAGCTCTGAAGCCTATACGGTTATAAGAGGTGGAATGGTTGGTCTCATAATCAGGGGTCTCTACCCTGTTTTTTTGACTATACCAATAAATGGTGCTCTGGCAGCCAGGTACAATTCAGTTCCACTACCACAGAAAGGAAACATTTCGACCTACTGGATCACAGTCTCTCGACCTGTCTTTAGAAAGATGGCCTTTCCCATAATGCTGCAGACTGTGTTTGCAGCATACTTTGGTTCTAAACAGTATGAAGTACTCATAAAAGCATTTGAATTACCTGAACCTGGCTTCCAATTCCAGGATATTCAAAATAAATCAAGTGCACAGCTAAAAGGATAAAATAATGTAAAAATAAGATACTAATACCCAACAAATATACAAAATTGTATTTATTGCAACTTTTAAAAGAAAGTTGGCTTTTTAGGACATAAAAGCATCATAAACAAATGTAGAAAAGGAGTACTAAACAAATCTTTTACAGATCAATTGCATTAAAAACTCTGAGAAAAATGCAGAAAGCGAAAATACTAAACATATACCTTATTGACCACAGTATAATAAATATTATAACGAATGAAGTGCCTTTGAAGAAAGGATTCAAACTTCTTAAAAAAAAAGATTCAAATGAAGCCTAAATAATTTGATACTAAAAAATAGCTGACTCAAAGGATAAAACAAAGAAACAACAGATAATTTTATCCAAAAAACTGACAATAAGGAGAACTATACTGAAACTTCTGGGATACTGCCAAAGCAGTCATATTGAGGAAAATTTTTATCTTTTTATTTTTATCTTTACTTGCATCCAGCCCTGGAGTCAGGAGGACCTAAGTTCAAATGTGGCGTCAGACACATAATACTCACTAGATCTGGGCAAGTATCTTAACCCCAACTGCCTCACCAAAGAAAAAAATTAATTAAATAAAGACACTTGCCTCAATAAAACAAAGAACAATAAAAGGACAATAAAAATTAGAAAACAAAAAAAATAAACATGAAAATGAAATCCTAAATAATCAAGACCTAAGTTGATATTCAGCCTCAGACACTTACCTAGCTGTGTGACCCTAGGCAAGTCTGCTTCAGTTTCCTCAACTGCAAAATGAGGATAACAACAGCACCTACCTCCCAGGGTTGTTGTGAGGATCAAATGAGATAATATTTGTAAAGCACTTAACACAGCACCTGGTACATATTAGGCACTTAATAGGTGCTTGTTTATTTCCTTCCTTCCTACCCTAAAGAGATCAAAGAGAGAGGGAAAGGACCCATATATAGAAAAAGATTCATGGAAATACTTTTTGTTCACAAAGAATTGTAAAATAAGAAAGTACTCATCAATTGGGAAATGGTTGAACAAATTACGGTATATATTAATGTAACAGGATATTATTGTACTATTAGACAAAATGAAAGGAAATACTTCATTTTGCTTTTAATGTAAGGCTCAGTTTGACTCTACAAGTCATCCTCTCAATCTGAACAGAAAGGAGGAGGGGGAGGTATTACAGATGTTTAATGTAGTAAACAATAACAAACATCACTCTGTCAATTGGTTTCGATTAAGTGTTTTTCTTTGTTACAAGGAAGGATTCAATGGGAGAAGGATACATATAATAGGAAGACAGTTTTGTCATAAAAGCAAAAGTCAACAATAAAATAACATAAATTCAGTTCAGAATTTAAAAAAAAAAATTCAGGCTCAATAACCCAACTAAAATACAAATACAACATCCCGTTGTTACAGCTCCCTCCTCCTAAAAATGACAAATATACTCCCTTCCCCAAGAAACTAATCTTCTGCTAAGTCTACTAGAATTTCATATCATTAGCAGGGAATAGAATCCAATGGTCTTATGCTCCTTAATAATATCATAATGTGACTGTACATGAAGCATAAAATGAAGTTACATAGTGTCATTTAGCATACAACCAAATAAAATCAATCGACAAATATTTAATAAGTGTGCCCCATTTTGGGACAGGCATCAAACTAGGTGCTAAGAGAAACAAGGGCAAAAAAAGAAACAATCCCTACTCGTATTGAGCTTATTTTTGAAACAGGTATGTTTTCATTAGAATAAGGACTAGTCATCAAACACAAAACTCAGGCTTCCACTAATACATATATCCAAGGTAAATATCCTCTTTCAAAAACAATAGTATTACAGATAAATTAAGTAATACCTTTTAAGTTTAATTCCAATTTTACATTTATACTGCAAAGAAAGTTTTCAAAATAATAAATTATCACCCAAGCATAAAGTCTCACTGCTTTTCCAATATACTATACAATATTCTTTCCTCAGAGATAAGCACAGGGGTCATATATAATGAAGTAGTATTTTTTTCAAAAATGCTTTTTTTCTTTTTCCAAAAAAGGTTTTGTAAAAGAATCCTCTTACATGAAAGCACGGAAATAACCATTCAGTTCCATCTAAACTAGATCATTTCACAGTTACCTAATAAAAATTATCTTTCAGAAGCACTCTGACCTTCACTTTTCTCCTCCTTACTTGAATTTTCTTTAGTGTATGTACTAAATACAAATTTATATAGTGATTTCTCAATTATTTACACCAAAAAAAAAAGGTCTTTTCACTGCCTAGATGGTAGGCAGTGAGAAACAGTAGAATAAAATGAATTTTTAATACTAATAGTGAGACAGGGTTCAGGAATTAGCCGTGCAGCAACCATAACGGGAACGCCTGACTCTGACAGGAACGTGCTAGGCTGAGTATGAAAGTGTAAGCAAACTGGGAAGTCCTAGTTACTTGCAGTCTCCATAATGGTTAATAATTTTTTCTATATAAAGATTAGAGACCATGCACTTAGTATTATAGAAACACTAATAACTAACCTTAGCTCCAGGAAGTACCTCATTTTGCTTTAATGTAAGGCTCAGCTCCATTCTACCAATCATCCTCCCAATTTGAACAGGAGTAGAGGGTGCTACCTCTGGTAAATTTCTTGTGAGTTGTGGGTGTGGTTCATAAACAATTTTCGGATTCCAGCTAGGTGAAAGTTTTGGTTCAGTTTCCTATAAAATACAACAACAAAAGGTAATATATTAGCAAATTATGAAAACTATAATGTTCTAATAAACCAATATTCAAGAAAGAAGAGACCAAACATAGTAAAATATTAGTAGAATGGCTGGTATAAAATAAATTAGGAGAAAATAATACTTCAAAAAAAAATCAGGATTTTTTTTTTTTAAAGACAAGTACAGGAAAATTCTTCTCAACATGAGTATAACACCAGATTACGAAACTCTTAATTACATGAAAACTTGTAGCTTGAAAACAGCAAACTGGAGAGTAACTTGCAGCATAAAAGCATTTTCTACTTTACAAAAAGATTCACCAGTTTCTTTCATTTGCAAGTGTCTCTATTACTTTTAAAGTATAATCTAATTTACAAAAAAAAAGGACATACATACAACTACATAATCTATACTATAAAAGATTCTTTGATTTATTCTTTTTTTTTAAACACAATTGGGGTTAAGTGACTTGCCCAGGGTCACACAGCTACTAAGTGTCAAGTGTTTGGTCTGAGGCCGCATTTGAACTCAGGTCCTCTTGACTTCAGGACCGATGCTCCATCCACTGTGCCACCTAGCTGCCCCCGATTTACTCTGTTTTTTTAATAATAGGGAAATTATCTTTAACTGTTTGACATGCTATTTTCAATTGAATTCAAATTTTTCAAAAAAAAAATTTTAAGTGCTTACTATGTCTAACAAGCTATGATAGAAATACAGTAGCTTAGAGAAGGTAATGGTTTAAGGTGGAAGGGAAATTATAATTAATTCCATTTTGAACATGACTTTGAAATAGCAAAAAGACATCAAAGCAGAGATTTTCAGCAGGCAGTTGTAGATGCAAGACTACAATTCAAGAAAGATTAGGACTAAAACACTAGACTTAATAGTCAAACACCTGGGTTTGGATCCTGGTTAGACTTTATTTACTAGCTATATAACCCCAGGCAAGTTATGTAATATCTCTAGTCCTCAGTTTCCTCCTCTGTTAAATGAGGGAATTGGACTCCATGACTTATAAGTCCCTGCCAATTCTAAATTTATGATCCTATTACTAAATATTTAAATTTGGGAGTCAACTATGTAGAGAGAAAGAAATTCAGAGGAGTGGATGAAATCACCAAGGAAAAGTACAGAGATAACAGAGAACAGAGCCTTGGAAAACATCTGCAAGCAGGCAGGAGATGGACTATGTTGCAACCAAGGAGAATGTGAAAGAACAGTCAAGCAAGTAGGTGTAGCAGGTAGGAGTTCCAGGAGAGACAGGGTGACTATCCAGGAGGGGTTGATTGAGCATATCAAAAGCAGCAGGGAACTCAAGTAGGATGAGGAGAAAAAAATGGCCTTCAGACTTAGCAACTAAGAAAGTCACCGATAACCTTAAAAAGGGCTGCAGTGAGTTAGTGCTAACAAAGTAAATGCAGTGAACCTAAGTTCTTTCTAGGATGACAGGGTCTGTGAAAGATTCCTTAAGATTAAGGAAAACTTGAATATGTTTATAAGGAAGAAGCCAGTAGAAAAAGTAAGACCGAAGGTGACACAGGGAGCTCTCAGAAGAAAAAGGAGGGAGGAAATACAAGTAAAGGAGGAGAGAGTTTGGCAAGGAAAACTACAAGAAGATAAAAACAAGGGCAGCTAGGTGGAACAGTGGATAAAGTACCAGCCCTGAACTCAGGAGGACCTGAGTGCAAATCTGGCCTCAGACCAAACACTTGACACTTACTAGCTGTGTGACCCTGGGCAAGTCACTTAACCCCAACTGCCTTAAAAAAAAAAAAAAAGATAAAAACAGATGAAGATTTAAAAGGATTCTGAGATACAGTCTAGAACAGATAAAGGAGCTTAGGACAGATGGTGTCTTATTTTCTTAGGAAAGAAGGATAAAAGTGGCACAATGGATGGAGTGTTAGACTTGAAATTAGGATGAAGTGAGTTCAAATCTTGCTTCCGACACCGAGTAGCTCTATAACTCCGGGCAAATCACTTAACCTCAGTTTAAATGAGCTTTTAATTCAGCCTCAGTTGCCCATCATCTGTAAAATGGAGATAGCCCATACATCAGAGGACTGTTGTAAAAATCAAATGAGAAATATACATAAAGAAATCTGTAGATCTTAAAAGTGCTATATAAATGTTAGTTATTATATGCAGTCATTTGCTTTGATGGCATTAAAGACTGACACTGGGAGCTTCATGAGGAAGAAGAAAGTTTAGAATGGCTGATGTGCGGAGAGTAATTAAAAAGTCAACTAGGGAAAAATAAAAAAAGCTTCTTGGGGATATTATCCTTATAAATAAAATTTGTAAACATTTTCCCTGTTTTAAGCCTAGATCTTTTAAACAATCATCAATATGAGGCTTATTTTTATTCTCTCACACACCAAATGCTAAAATAGAGTAAGACACATTACAACATACCTAATAATTAAAGGTTTATAAAGGATAATTTCATCAGTGCAGTCACTACTTCCACCAATGCCTCTATACCTTAGCAGACAGTCTCTGTGACTTGCTATAGACACAAAAATTCACCACCAGGTGATGAGTGGCTGGTAATGAACCTCTCCAAACTTAGTTAAGCTGCAACTTGTACAAAAGACAAAATCATGCCCTGTCCATACTCAAAGCTTTTTCAGTTTGACAGGATACTATCAAGGTCTGCAGTCCACTCCCAGAGACTTAAAGAAGCTAGGATCATGGCTACTACCCAATGAGAAGTAACAGTAGTACTTCCACAAAGGATGTTATGATAAATGTGGGGGAAATGCAGTGTTCCTCATTAAAGCTTTTTTTTCATTAATTTATTTATTTTTAATTTTCAACACTCACTTCCATAAGGTTTTGAGCTTTAAATTTTCTCCCCCTTCCACTTCTTCCCCCTTCCCAACAAGACAATGTACAATCTGATACAGGCTCTACATACACATTATGTTAAGCATATTTTCCCATTAGTCATGATGTAAAGAGCAATTAGAACTAATAGGAACCACAAGAATGAAGCAATAAATCAAATCAACAAAGGAAGAGGAGAGCAAATAGTATGCTTCCATCTGCATTCAGACTCCATATTTCTTTCTCTAGGTATGGAGAGCATTTTCCATCGTGACTCTTTTGGAGTTGTCTTAGATTCTTGCATTGCTGTGAAGAGCCAAGTCTATCAAAGTCAGTCATCCCATAATGTGGCTGTTATTGTGTACAATGTTCTCCTGGTTCTGCTCATTTCACTCTGCATCAGTTCATGTAAGTCTTTCAAAGTCTTTTTGAAATCTGCCTGTTCATCATTTCTTATAGCACAATTCATTCACATATACATATTCCACATATACATTCATATTCATTCATACAACACATTCATATACCACAACTTGTTCAGCCATTTCCCAACTGATGGACATCCCCTCAATTTCCAATTCTTTGCCACTACAAAAAGAGCTACTATAAATATTTTTGTACACGTACATGTGGGTCCTTTTCCCATTTGTATGATCTCTTTGGGATATAGACCTAGAAGGCATATTGCTAGATCAAAGGGTATACACAATTTTATAGCCCTGGATTATAGTTGGGGCACACCCATAGTTTGGGCATGATTCCAAATTGCTCTCCAAAATGATTGAATCTTTTCATAACTCCACCAACAACGTATTAGTGTTCCAATTTTCCCACATCTTCTTCAACATTTATCATTTTCCCGTTTTGTCATGTTGGCCAATCTGAGAGGTGTCATGTGGTACCTCAGAGTTCTTTTGATTTGCATTTCTCTAATCAACAGTGATTTAGAACATTTTTCATATGACTAGATAGCTTTAATTTCTTCCTCTGAAAACTGCCTGTTCATATCCTTTGACCATTTTATCAACTGAGGAACGACTTGTATTCTTATAAATTTGACTCAATTCTCTATCTATTTTAGAAACGGGGCCTTTATCAGAGACACTGGTTGTAAAAATTCTTTCCCAGTTTTCTGCTTCCCTCCTGATCTTGGATGCATTGGCTTTATTTGTGCAACTTTTCATTCAAACTTTTAAACAACTGTATTAACATATTTGTTTTACCACTGGTGCAGTTGAAGACCCTGGAGAAGATTTTGCTGATGCAGAAAACTCATCCCAAAAGACAGAGACTCCAGAAAGCTGAAGTAGCTTGTGAGCAAAAGCTGTAGGCTGATGTACATTGATTCCAGAGCATTCATCAGCAGTTTCATCACAATACATAGTTCTGAAAAATAAAATCCAAAATACAAGAATTTTTTTCTTACAGAATTACTAAGAACATCTACTTACTATTATATTAAATGTATAAACAAGTTATTTAACAGAAAGTTTTCAATAATGGGTACTGCTCGTAATATTCCAGTGAAGTTGGGGAAGAATTAATATACTTTATTATAACAACCTTAAACAAAGAAAACATAAATAACTTCTTAGGTCTTAAAATTTACAAAGTATGACTTCATGAGGCAAATTTCATGAAGGTAAAAATACTCTGTTCAACAGAAAATCACTTGGTGCCACTATCAAAGTCAGAATAGTAAACTGCAGTTTGTCCTACTTCTATATAAAATGTCAGAACTAGATATTTCTTTTTTCTGATCCCATCCCCCCAATACTGGTATCCCCCTTCTTCTTTTATGTATGCTGATGCTTTCAAATTATGGGCTAGAGAAGATTTTTGAGAGTCCTCTGGATAACAAGGAGATCAAATCAGTCACTACTTAAAGAAATTAATGCTGACTATTCATTGGAAGATAAAATACTGAAGCTGAAGCTTAAATATTTTGGTCACATAATGAGAAGAAAAAACTGACTGCAAAAGACCCTGATGTTGCGAGAAAGACTGAAAGTAAAAGGAGAAGGGGACAGCAGAGGACAAGATGGACAGATAGTGTCATGGAAGCAAAGAACATGAGCCTGGACAGACTTCGGGAGATTGTGGAGGGTAGAAGGGCCTGATGTGCGATGGTCCACGCAGTCAAGAAGAATCAGACATGACTGAATGACTGAACAACAACAAAATGTATTTCTCATTTTGTATTTATGCTGTATATGCTTTGAATATACTTATATGCTTCATCAGAATGAAAGATCCTTGAAAGTAGGGATTGGTTTTTTCTTCATACTTATAGTCCCAGAACCTGGCATGGAGCCACACCTAGTAGATGTTAATAGACACTTGTTTCTTGACTGATGCTTTTAAAGTGTCACTAGTCTTCAATCTAAAAAAATACAAAATGTTATTCTATCTATAATGGTGGCAAGAGAACAACAATAGGATCTGGTAATCAAGGTTCTATTCCTCTACAGTCAAAGGAAATGGGTTCAAATCCTGTTTCTGATGCTTAGTACCTATGTGGCCTTAGGGAAGTCACTTAGAGTCCATGGGCCTATTTCCTCACCCGTAAAAAGAGGGGGTTGTGCTAGATGGCCTCTGAATCCCTTCCAGCTCTGAATGTATGATTCTCCTTGCCTATAAAGTAAGAGACTGGACGAGCTATCCCTAAGGTATAACATTCATTGACTGAAATTTCAATCAGTATTCATATGGCTCCTCCTGCAACAGGATGCTAACACAAAGCACACTTATCCAATAAATGCAGATTGTAAACAAACCCTTAGATTTATAAGCATATTTTATGATAAATGGTTACACACTGTAACTAAGCTCTGAATAAATGAAAATGGAACCCTGGGCTCTTGTAAGTTAACTCTCACTTTAACTTGCCCCTAGCCAGGATTTCATGGAATTTCCCAGCCATTTCCAAACCATAAAACCACAATCCTGGCCATCCTTCTCATGGCCTCCCACTGGAACCTAGATTTTGTTCCTGAGACACTGAGCGGTGGTGTGAGCTTTCATCCTCTCTTGCCCATAACCAAGCCACCACACATGTAATCACCTTTTCTAGCTCTCCTTTACGTATGGTCATCTCCTTTTAAAATTTAAGCTCCGTCAGGGCAAGAACAGTCTTGCTTGCTTATATTCATAGCTCAAGTACAGTGCCTCACACACAGAAAGAGATTAATAAATGCTTTTTTCATTAAACTTTTACTTTTTTATGTAACTCAGCAAAAATATCTCAAATAACTATATACACAAAGCTCATTCTGCCCTGTGTGCTATATTCTAAATATGGCTTATCACCTGGAAATAAACTTGGGAGAATGAAAAAAAATCATCTTTGCTATTTCTACATGAGCCCATCTACCTGTGTGAGAAATATTTATCAGGTTTCTAAGAAGGCAAATAAGGAAAACCCCAAAAAATTTGCTTTCAATTTAGGTTAATTATTTTAGTCTTCCATGTTTATCTGTCAAAACACTGAATCCTTAATACTGGGCTTCTAGTCTCAGATTTTAGGTGGAACATGCCCACTATGACATGGCCAGGTGATACTTGAGCTTGCCAGTGGGTTTCTGGATGACCCTAAGTACAATAACACTAGCTATACCAGGCTGAGCGGATAAGTGCTCTGACATGATCTCAAGAGCTTGAGCCAAGGAGACTTTGAAATTTCTCGACACCTGCCTTCATCACTGAAGCTCCTCCCGTACAATAATCTGCCTAGGTTCATTCCCCAACAGTTAACATGTTCCCAGTTCCATCTTACTCTCCCCATCCTAGTGACAATACTGAACCCTGTCAAAGGACAACCCACCTCCCCAACTCCACCTGCCCAATTCCTCATTCCAATCCACCTCAAGTCTACCTACCACCTCAATATCCTATACTCCAGGGCTTTCTATCCTTTCCACTGCATCTTATAGAACTCCTGCTCTATAATTAACAAACTACTTTTTATTCCCTCGTCCCCTCTCCCTCTCTTCTCTCCTTTTTTCTCTCCTATATTCTGGCCTTCACTGACATATGGGGTTCTCTATGTATTATTAAGCTCCTACTATTTGCCAAGCATTGTGCTAAATGCTGGGAATCCACATAAGGAAAAAAAAAAACAATTCCTGTCTTTGAGAAACTTACAATCTAATGGAGGAAGATAATACGCAAAAGGGAGCTGAAAATCAAGGAGAAGGAAGGAGTTCCAGAGAGTACCTGGGTACAGAGGCAGGAAGAAGATAAGGGTAGAGTTGAAATCAAGCAGAGTAGCTAATGACAAATGAAGAAATAGCTGAGATTTTGAATCCTCTATAAATGGAAGATACGGGAGGAATTTTTTATTTACTCCACCCTCCAGCCCACTAACCAACAAAGCTGGACTCACAAAGCCGTGTTCAAAGGGTATATTCAAAACTTGTCTTATCTAATCTCAACTGGGCCCTGAATGCAAAAAGGCAATGCTTCTACTTTTCCTTAATTGCTTCTCTGTCCCACTGAAAATCTAAACAGATTTTCCAAACCATCTCTTCTCTCTTCAAGTCTTCTCACAGCACCCACTCACATCACACTCTCAAATGAAGATCTCACCTCACACTTAACTTCAAAAAAAAATCATGACCCTTCACCTTAAGCTCCCTCTTCTTTCTTTCTACTCATTTCACATATCCCTATGACATTATCTCCCACTATTTTTTCCTTTACTTAAGTCTTTATTAAATGTGGTCACTCTTTGTCAGTCAACCCTCTGTGTCTATCTTTGCTCCCATCTCCCTGCATTTTCTTCTGCAGATTGTCCAGATTATCATCTTCTCTCTCTAATCTCAACCTCTCACTTTATTCTGGCTCCCTCACAACTGCTTGTAAGCCCACCAAGTGTCATCATATTTAAAAAACACTCCTCAGATCCTCCTCTTCTCAGCTGAAGACTTTAAGAAAAGCAACCTCTACTGTACTTCCACTTTCTCTTCTCTCACTTTCTTCTAAACCTTCTAAACTCTATCTTCCAACTTCACTCTTCAACAGAAACATCTCTCTTCAAACTTACTTATTGTGGTAGATATAATATCTGTCATGTAGACTAGACTGCTTTTTACTAAAAATAGTATGAACATGTGTCTTCAAGATTTAAATAGTTCAGGGGGCAGCTAGGTGGCTCAGTAGATAGAGCTCTAGCCTTGGAATCAGCAGGACCTGAGTTCAAATCCAGCCTCAGACACTTGACACTTGTTAGCTGTGTGACCCTGGACAAGGCACTTAACCCCCATTGCATCAGCAAAAAGCAAAAAAAAAAAAAAAAAAAAAAAAGATTTAAATAGCTCAGAGGACTAAATCTTAGGTTTTTTATATAGTTTCTTGGTGGCCTGAGTACAAAAAGCCAGTGTAGAAGGAGTCAACGGGGCAGCTAGGTGGATAGGTGGCGCAGTGGATACAGCATTGGCCCTGAAGTCAGGAAGACCTGAGTTCAAATCTGGCCTCAGACACATAACGCTCACTAGCTGTGTGACCCTGGGCAAGTCACTTAACCCCAATTGCTTCACCCCAAAAAAAAAACAAAACAAAACAAAAAAAGGAGTCAACAAAGATTCCTTCTAATTTCTGATTGAACATCAACTATGGCCAACATACAGGCAAGGAAACTATGCCCAATTTAAGCAAAGCTATATTCTTGTTGAATATTCCTTTCTTGCTACAGCCCATAAATTTCATTTTGTTAAATGTTACATGGTCAACAAGCATCTCATTTTACTCTAATCTCAAAACTAAACTACCAGGACAGCCTGAGTCAGGTCTGACCTATCACATTTGGTACAGAAGCAGTAGGATATAAGCAATAAAGCATATACTATGTTCCAGGCACTGTGCCATCCTACAAAGGGAAATTCATTGTGAACTGCACAGATTTTGATAGCACCTAGCATATGGACCAAATCTTTAAGATCCGAGAATGAATGAATGAATGAAAAAGCACGTAATAAGTATTTAGTCTGTGCTAAACACTGAAAAATAAATAATAAAGTAAAGAGGTATAAACCAACATCTCACACCATAAGCCAATCTAAGGTGAAAATGGGCACATGATTTAGACATAAAGGGTGAAACCATAAGCAAATTAAGAGAGCATGGAATGGTTTATTTGTCAGATTTACGGATAAGGGAAGAATTCGGGACCAAAGAAGATAATAAAAAGCAATTGTACTAGATGCAAAATAGATAAATATGATTATATAAAATTTAAAAGTTTTTGCACATACAAAACCATGGCAACCAAAATTATAAGGAAAGCAGAAAACTGGGGGGGCAGGGCATTTTGCACCAATTATCTCTGACAAAGGCCTCATTTCTCAAATATATAGAGAACTGAGTCAAATTTATAAAAATACAAGTCATTCCCCAATTGATAGTCAAAGGATATGAACAGGCAATTTTCAGAAGGAAAAAATGAAAGTTAGCTATAGTCATATGAAAAAATGCTCTAAATCATTACTGATTAGAGAAATGCAAATTAAAATAACTCTGAGGTACGATCGCATACCTATAAGATTGGCTTATATGACAAAAAAGAAAAATGTTGGCTGTTGGAGGAGATGTAAGAAAACTGGAAAACTAAAGCACTGCTGGTGGAGTTGACAATAATCCAATAATGACAGGAGACTCCCTCTCAGATATCATTAAGTCTAACAAAAATATAAATAAAAGGGTAAACATAAAACTGAACAAGCTGCTGGAGAAAATAAACCTAAAAGACATATGGCTTCTAAATGGGAGGGCTAAAGAATATGTCTATTTTTCAGTGATACATGGAACTTTTATAAAAATTGACTATAAATTAGGGAACAAAAATATTGCAAAATAAAGGTAAAAAAGCAGAAATAGTAAACATATCTTTTACAGATCATAACAAAAAAAAAAACAGAATTCAATTCAGGAAACACACACACACAAAAAAAGGAAGTAGACCCCAAAAGAGAATTAACAACGAAATAATAAATAGTGAGTGGGTCAAAAAAAAAGTGATAAAAACATATGACACATATGGATAGATGTAATAAAGCCCTGAAGTGGCCATGTGGCATAAAGGATAGTGACCATGTAATCAGGATGACCTGGGTTCAAATCCTGACTGATACATAATAGCTGTATTGGCAAATAGGCAAATCACTTCATATCTTGTTGCCTAATACAACTCCTTAAGTTGCACATCTCAATCAGCGAAGAGAATTTCTATACTGCAAGACGGATGAAATTATACTTCTATACATTTTTATTAGAGCTTTTTGGTCTTCTGTAATGATGAAACTTACTTAAAAAATTACACATCTCAAAACTGCACTTCATCATCACAACAACAAATAGCAGCTAACACTTACATAGCACTTACTATGTACCAGCACTGTGCTGAGCACTTTATAATTATTCTCTCATTTGATCCTCACAACAACCCTGGGAGGTAGGTGCTATTATTATCTGTTTTAAAATTAGTAAACTGAGGCAAACAGAGGTTTAGTGATTTGCCCAAGGCCACAGAGCTAGTAAATATCTGAGGCTGGATGTGAACTCAGGTGTTCCTGACTTCAAGCCCACTGCTCTATCCACTGTACTACTTTTGTTGTTGTTGTTTTTCAGTTGTTTCCAACTCTTTGTGATACCATTTGGGGTTTTTCTTGGCAAAGATAGTGGAGTCATTTTGCCATTTCCTTCTGCAGCTCACTTTGCAGATGAGGAAACTGACACAAACAGGGTTAAGTGACTTGCCCAAGGTCACACAGCTAGTAAGTGTCTGAGGCCAAATATGAACTCAGGAAGATGAGTCTTCCTGACTCTAGGCCCAGCATTCCATGCAACTGTGCCACCTAGTTGTCCCCTAGCTGTCCATAAATGAGAATTTTATATGTTTAGCATTCAATTAAATGTCAGTTCACTTGATTTGTTCTCAATTAAATCAACATCACCTATGCTGAATTTGAAACAGTAAATTCAATCATTCCCCAGGTAAATCCAGGTTATCTTATATCTTTAGGATCTCAAGAATGGCACTGGAACCGAACAAAATATGAACAGCATTGCTTTAGCTTTAAGTATTTTGTTAACAACAACATTTATCCCCAAAGGTAAATTGAATGCTAATGTATCAAGGATTTCATTTATTATTTTAAAATATCACGAAGTCATATATTCAAATTTAAGGAATCTCACTTTTCTACTCGAATTTCAAGTGCTGTTCCAGTTTTTGAATTTTCTGGTATATGTTCAATTCTCAAAACTGTATCCAGGAAAGTGACTTTCACTCTTCTTAGAACTAGAACAAAACAGATAACAATTATTTCTACTAAAAATATTCTATTTTTCTTGAACACAACAAACAGAATATATTAAATGAACCAAAATAATCTAACTGGAAGACAATCTAAATTATTAATACTTTAAAATTCCAACCTCTTCAATTTAAAAAATCCATCCTCAATTGAGCAAATGACATGTGTTATGACCTAATACATATTTGTGCATTGTTAAAAAGCTTTTATTTATAAAACTCTAAGCACTACAGAATATCCTTCTTTATAAAAAGTATGATATAGTCAAACAAGACATAGAAAAAAAGGAAAAAGTAAAAAACTTAATACTACTAACCTCAATTATATAAGTTCAAATATGTATGTGTATGTATGTATGTGTGTGTTTATGTATACACATACATATAAACAGACCTCAATTGATTTGCTTTCTGAAGCTATATTGAACCTACATTTTAGAATGGATTGTTTCTGAGGGTCCCTTCCCACATTAAGATTCTATAATTTAATTCAGAATTCAAATGATATCCCAATAGATAAATAATCAAAGTATACAAAAAAGTTTTTATAAGAACTGCAAGCTGAAAGTGCCCATTTGAAAACATGCTCCAAATCATTAATATTAAGAGAAATGAAAATTAAAACAACCTCATACCTTGTAAATATAAAAAAATGACAAAAAACAGGATCAATGTTAAAAAGGTATGGAGAAAGAGGCACACTGATACACTGCTGGTGGATTTATAAACTTGTCCAACCACATTGATTATCAATTTGGAATTATACAAGAAAGTTTTAACTGTCTATTAACTGTTGTAAATGATTTCAACTTCATCCTATGACAAAAGGATCTCACTACTAAGTATACCCAAGACAGAATAAAAATATTCACAGACAAAATATTCATAGCAGTCTGCTTGTGAGAGCAAAGATCTAAAAACAAAGAAGGTATCTTCAAGTGGGGAATGGCTTTAAAAATTATGGCATATGAATGTACTGGAATATTATACCAATATGAAATGAAAACTATGAGGAATTCAGAGAAATATGAGAAGACGTAAACGAACTAATAAAGAATAAAGTAAGTAGAACCAAAAGAATATACACATATAAATATGCATGTGTGTATGTGTGTGTATAAAATCACACCAATATAAATAAAATCATTACACAGAAACTGAACTCTTGAGTAAAGGAAAAACCATGAACATTATACAAAGGTCTTTGAAAACAAATAATAAAATATACTTTCCTCCTCTTTGGAGAGGCAAGGGATTATTAGTGTACAATGTTGCATACATTGTCAGATGCAGTCATGATAATATTTGTTTTTGCTTGGGTTTTTTGATGTTGTTATTAATAGGAGGGTTCAGTCTAGAAGGTGAGATAGGGTTTCTAGAAATGAGAAACACAAAATACATAAGCGTTAATACATGTTTTTTAAGACACAACAAAGAAATTCAGAACAAACCTGTTTCTATGGTTTCAGCAAATTTTTCAAGTCCTTCAAAAGGCTGTGATCCATCCCCTTGTTCATCTGTTAATCTATGACTAAGGCATTCTTTTGCCAGTTGCATGCTGCTGGTCATGAAACTTGACCAATACATGGGCTCAGAGCCAGTTGCTAGGGAAGAAAAAAACCAATAAATTCATCAACAAGCATTTATTAACTACTGACTACATGCCACACACTGGAATAAGTACTGGAGATACAAAGGAAAAAGATTCCGCATCCAGAGAGCATATATATATATATATATATATATATGCACATATATAAGTACATACAGAATATAGACAAAATGAATACAAAGTAGTTTAGGAAGAGTATTAGCCTCTAAAAGGCCAAGGAAATGCTTCATGAAAAAGGTAACTCCTAGGCTTAGTTCTGAAAGAAATTATGGATTCTAATGGATATAGATGGGGGGAGGGAGTAGGAACATTCCAGATATGGGGGCAAGCCAGTATACAGATGTGGAGATGGGTGATGGAATATTATATGGGGGGAACAGTACGGTTCCTCAAATAACGTGGTTGAATTGTGGCATGTTGAGAGAAAAAAGTAGCAAGAGGCTAATTGTGAAATTACATTCAAAATAACTATAGAATGCACAAAATATCTGGGAGTCTTCCTCCCACAGTAACTTTTTTTTTTTACAGAAATAACAGAAGACAATCAGATATTAATTGCTCATGGTTGGGCCAAGTTAATATATTAAAAATTATGATGCTGCCTAAATTAAATTAATTTACAGGCTTAGTGTCATGCCAAAGTACAAAAGCATTACTTTATAGAACTAGACAAAAAAAGAACTAAATTCATTTGGGAGAACAAAAGTTAAATATAGCAAGGGAAATTTTTTTTAAGTAGAAAAAACAGGCACCACTAATACTACAGCATAATGTAGTAATTATCAAAACTATATGGTACTGCATAAAAAAATTTGAAAAAGTGATCAATGGAACAGATTAGGTGAATAAGACTCAAAAGCATAGCAGCACTGTGTTCAATAAGCTAAGAGGCATCAGTTACTGACGTAATCGTTCCCTATTTGACAAAAACTACTGGTAAAACCAGAAAGCAGTTTGAAGAAATCAGGTTTAGACCAACACCTCATACCAATTACCACAATAAGCTCCAAATGAATCCATGACCTGATATAAAAGGTCACAGCAAAAATAAATTAATGAAGGAAATACATTTTGCAGCAATGGGTAGGGAGAGAGCTATTAAGCAAGGGGAAAGAGAGGTTCAAAGGATAGAAAATGGATATTTTGATTATATAAAACTAAAAACTTTTTGCACAAGCAAAATCAATGCAATAAAAATTAGGAAGGAAAAGTTAACTGGGGAAAACATATGCAGCACATTTCTCTTCATATCCAAAAATATGAAGAGAATTTATAGATACATAAGAAAGAGTAAGAGTCATTTCCAGTAGTCAGAGAATACGAACAGGAAGTTTTCAAAAGAAGAAATGTAAACTATCAATAATAATACAAAAAAATGCTCCAGATCACTAATAAGAGAAATGCAAATTTAAACCAACTTTGACACTCATCAGATTGGCAAAGACGATAATAATGACAATAACTAGCATTTATATATAGTTAAAATTTGTAAATTAAAGATTTGCAAAGCATTTCATTTTATCCTGACAATAATCCTGGGAAAAGGTGCCATAAAAAACAGGGGTTAAGTGACTTGCCCAGGGTCATACATCGAGTAATTGTTTGAGGTCAGTTTTTAATTTAGGTCTTCCTGATTTCAGGTGTAGTGCTTTATCTAATGCACCACTTAGCTACCTAGATGACAAAAAACAAAGTAAAATGGCAATTTCTAGAGGGTCAGTGGAAGGAAAGGAATACCAATGTATGTTGTTAGAGCTGTGTACCCGTCTGATCTAAAAAGCAATTTCGAATTATCCTCAGTCACTAAATGTGCATGGCATATGCTGTAAGGAGGTCAAAATCAGATCGAAAGGACACATCTGCAAAAAATTAACAGTAGCACTTTTTGTTGTAGCAGGTAACTAGAAACAAAATAGATACCTATCAATTGGAGAGTGGATAAACATGCCATACAAATGCAATAAAATATCATTAGACCTTAAGAGATAATGAAAAAGCATTCAGAGAAACCTTGAAAAACTGCATAAACTAATGCCGAGTGAAATTAGCAAAAAAGTATACAATAGGATTAGAATAAGATAAACAACTGAAAGATTTAAGTGTTATAATCAATAAAATTACCAATTATGACTTCAGATGAACTTGGAGGAGAGAGGGGATGGACGAGAGTAACAATTCTTAACCTCTTATGTGTTATGTACTCCTTTAAGTAGTGATGGAATTGAGATAACGAGGACAGCGAGTAGCTGATTGTGGGAAGTGAGTGAACCACATTGATTTCATTTTGAAACTCAATTCTGGAGCTAGCTCATTTTCCTTTCTATTCAATTATGGGTCTAGTCCAACTTCTGTCTTGTGAGAAAATTTTAATCATTATGGGAATTGGGAAAAAACCTTATTGTATTGTTTGAACCTAGCCCTGAGTGGCTGGGAAGCTGTATTCCTTTTACCTGCTGCTTACAGAACCTCAACTAAGGACCTAGGTTATGATGACCAGAAACCCGGTCAGATCCAAAGGTTGATGCAAGGAGTTTTCTCACAATTGTAAATCTCAAGCAACCCATGTGTCTTATCTGAAAACTAGCTCCATACTGATCAATCAGTTATTTCCATATTCTTTTGATTGCTTGCAAACACTTGGGAGGATTGAGAAATTTCTTCTTCTGAATTCAGAGAATGGCAATCTATTGGCTCTCTCCCTCCCAACCTGGAAAGTCCCTAATCTTTCATCCAATTAGAAATCAGATTGCCTAATGTACTGTTTTATTTTAATTAACTGGCCTTATTTGATTGTTTTTAATGTAAAAAAAATCTGTCTCTCTCTCTCTGTACTCAGGGTCTAGGCCTAAGCTGAAGAGATCTGCTCCCAGTTTGTTGAACAATTAGCATATACTGCTTAATAAAGTGACATGCTCAAAAGATCGATCCTTTGTTTCTTCAGTCATTTCATTTTTCACCTGCAAATAAGTCTGATGAAGCTAGTCTCAGCAATACAATGATCTCAGAATGTTTTTAAATGAATAAAACAAAATACATAAAATTACAAAGGAAATCAATTTTTTAAGGTTATACATATGCAGTTATGCAAAACATATCCATAACAGTCATATTGTGAAAGAAAACAGACCAAAAAAACCTCAAGAAGTAAAAAAAAAAAAAAGTATGCTTCAATTTGTATTCAGATACCATCAGTTCTTTCTCTGGGGATGTACAGCATTTTTCATTCTAACTCCTTCAGAGTTGTCTTGGATCATTGTATTGCTGAGAATAGCTAAGTCATTCAGAGCTGATCATCTTACAATATTTGCATCAGCTCATGCAAGTTTTTCCAGGTTTTTCTGAGAACATCCTGCTCATCATTTCTTATAATACAACAGTATTCCACCATAATCACATACTACAACTTGTTCAGCCATGGCCCAATTGATGAGCATCCCCCTCATTTTCTAATTCTTTGTCCCCCAAAAAACCTGCTATAAATGTTTTTGTACATGTAAGTCCTTTTCCTTTTTGGGAAATCAATTACTTTTAAAGTCTAATTTTTCTTTTCCCATCCTAGTTCACAGATCCCTTGAAATCTAACCCCAGGTTAAGAATCCCTCAACTACAGGTAAAGAGACATAAATTTTCAGAAACAGTCAATGAGTGAAATTGTTTTGCTGGATTATACTTATTTGTCACAAGGGAAAGGATTCTATTTGGAAAAGAGCAATTGTGAGAGAGGGATTTGGTGAGTAATGATAGCTATGTAAAAAAGAGAGAAAGAAAAGAGTACCAACAAAATATTCTTTTAGGATAATGGGATATTGGAGATCTTACCATAAAAGCACAAGAAGCAGAGGATCATATACCTTTTATAGCTATGGATAAGGGATGAATTGTTAACCAAACAAGGGTCAGACACAAATATCAAAGATAAAAGAATTAACTTTGATTACATGAAATTGAAAAGTTTTTGCACAAACAAAATTACTAGGATATATAAATAAATGTCAACAGGGGGAAAAGTTTTGTTATCAGATTATTCTGAGAAAGCGTGTGACATCTAAGTTATGTGAAGGGGCCCCCTGAACTCATCTTCTTGACTTGCCATGCTTTCCAGAAACACTGGACCTGGAGTATGCAGGAGGCCCTGAATGTGTCAAGGACAAAGCTCCAACATGAGCTGACATAATTTGTTGTTTGCACCCCAAGCTAGATTCTCTGTGTGTCCTTGGGAGTCAAGACAGGCACCAGTCAGTTTACACCAGAACGAAAAACTGTTTGTGCAGCTGGGACCCTTGCAGGTAAGCAGATCATCACATTTACATGTCTAGCAGTTCCCAAGGGAAAAGAATGCTGCTGTTGTCATCTTATTTATTAATGATTTCTCCGCCCCTTCTGGTGGGAATTAGTCCATTTCTCCTACTGCGCTCTCTCTCTCCTCCCATGCCACTCCCATTTAGGAGGAGATTGCTGTTCCTCTTCCTCCCTTTGTTGAAATTTCATAAACATGCAAGCTTTTGTTTGGACTGTGAACTCCTTGCACTTGGAGTTCCACATGCATGTTCATTTCTCTTATAACAAGAGAACAATTGTAATTGTAAAGCTGAAATAAGTTGCAACACATGTCTCATGGACTTGTGATTTTTTTTAGTTAACAGATATAAAGACAAAAGAAATTTGTAAGACCAAAAGTCATTCCCCAATAGAGAAGTGGTCAAAGGACAGCAACAAACGGTTCTCCAAAAGACTGCAAACTTTTAAGAAACTCCCTAAATCACTAGTAAGAGAAACACAGACAAAAATAACCCTGAGACTTCACCTTACATTCAGCAAATTGGCAAGATGACAAAAGAAGGAACCAGTCAATGTCAGAGGGGTTGTAGAAAAGAGAGGCACACTAATGCATTGTTTGTGGAGCTGTAAAATGATACAATTCTGAAAAAAAAAATCTGGAATAATGCAAATAAAGTGAATAAAATATCCATACTCTTTGATCTTAAGATTCCCAAGGAGGTCTCTGACAAAAAGAAAAACATCAAAGTATTTTAATCAGCCCTTTTTGCTGTAGCAAAGAACACACTGACTAGTCAACACAATGATAAATTTGGTACATGAATTAATGGGATATTGCTATGCTGTAAAAAATGACAAACATACTCTATTACAGAGAAGCATGGAAATACTTACATGAACTCATGCCAAGTGAAATAGCAGAAACAGGAAAATAATGGAAGCAATGACTAGAGCAATTTAAATGTAAAGAAGAACAACAATAAAATAAAATAAAAATTATTGCTGCAATACTACAATGACTGAGCTTGGCCCTAAATAAAAGGTATTTAAAAAAAAAACCTTCCCCCATCACTTTGAAGGAGGAGTCCAGAGGTGTGGCACATTGCATATAATGTTACTTTTTCAATGTAATGATTGGTTTTGCTAAATTTTTTTGTCTTACCCTTTTTTTCTTTTTTAATACTATAAGGGACAGCTTTCTGGCAGGGAGGGAAGCAGAAGGGGGAGGCCCGCATGGAGGGAGGCATATGAGTGAAATACAGGTAATATAAAAGTGAAAGTCATAAACAAAAATCCCATTAAAAAAAAAATCTAATAGAACTGGGTGATTTGAGAAATCTACCACACCCACGACAAAAATTATCAAGCACCCTGTAGTTCTTCCACTTCTCTGTGATACCATGAGGGTTTGACACCAATGTGTGAACTTACTCATTCAGTAACTAATACAATATACAAATGCATGAGTATCTAGGAATGTCTGCATACCCCTGTGTATGGTAGTCTTGCCAAAGTTTCTTGGTTAGTAATAAAAGCCTTGATTACGCCAATAAACTGTGGAAAACACATTTTTTAAAAGAATACATGTTTAAGTAGCAGACATTGGTAAAGAAAAGAACCATCTCTTCAACGAAGCCTAGAATAGAGAAGGAAATAAAGGGGATGGATGGTGTCAATGGATTGTGAGATTTGAAAGGAGAAGTGATGGACTCTTGACAATGACATCTATTTTCTAGGCAAAGGACAGCACAAGCTGCTCAGTGGGAAATGTAAATGGGGCAGATACCATGTTAACGCTTAAAGATGAGTTCAGAATAGCCTTTGTAGGTAGCAGGATAGGGAATCATTATTTAAAGAGGACTAAAAAGAATGCCATCCTCCTATGAGGGACCAACTGAAGTAAGATTACTATGTAGAGGACAAAGCTCAGTTAATTACATGAAAAATGGAATTAAATTGTTTTTCATAAACAGTTATATTAAACATAGCCAGCACCTGAAAATCTATGTTACACATCAAGAAAATAAGGTGTTTATATATTGTGGTATAAGACAAAATATGCAGCTTCCTATTTTTAAAAATCCAATCTCTCTCGCATGTCAAGTTTCTTTTTTTTTAATTATTTATTCATTTTTGGTTTTTCAACATTCACATTTATAAGGTTTTGAGTTCTAAATTTTCCTCCCTCTTATCTCCTCCCTCCCCAAGACAGCATGCAAAATGACACAGGCTATACACATACAATCATATTCCCACATTAGTCATGTTGTGAAAAAAGAATCAGAAAAGAGGAAAATCATGAGAAATTTTTAAAAAAAAAGGAAATAGTATGCTTCAATCTGCATTCAGACTCCATAGTTCTTTTTCTGGATGTGGACAGCATTTTCCACCATGAATGTCTTTTGGAATTGACTTAGATCATTGCATTGCTGAGAAGAGCTAAAAGTGTATTAAGGTCAGTCATCACATAATGTCCAGCATGTCAATTTTCAAAATAATTTGTTTTAAACACTTCTCCCCTATCCTAGATTTTAATCCAAGATTAAAAGTTACTCTTGAGATTTTGATAACATCTTAGAAAGAAAAAGAAAAACAAGTAACAAAAAGTCCAAACATTTGGCCTTATTGCAGACTATAGTTGAAAGTAAATAGTTACTGCTCAAGTTTGGTTATATTGATGGGCAAGGATGTTTTTATTTTTTAAAAGTTCTAAAAGATAAACTTCTAGTAATCAATAGTTGCAAAGGGAGTATAAAGGATGTGATGGATGTTAGAATTTTTTTTTAAAAAAAGCAATAAGATAAAGCAATGGTTGGATACGGGGAGGAAAAGAAGAGTCAAAGGTAAGAAAACTCTATATTTGTAAAGTACTAAGATTTACCGAGCAACTTCTCCACAAATGAGTAATATAGTGCAATTATTATCTAGTTTACAGATAAACAAACTGAGGTTCAGAAAGATTAAGTGATCTAACCATGACCATGATCACTAAATGTCAGATCTGGACTTCAAAAATCAGGTGTTCAAGATTCCTAAGTCCATCACTGTTTTTCCATTATGCTGTCCTACCTAACTCACTACTCTAAGACTTTAAACCTACTGAAAGACAGTGGCATTATCAATGGAAATATACAAACTATGAGGAATGGCAAGTATGTAGAAGATAAGTTCAGTTTGGACATATTAAGAATTCAGATAAAAAACCTGAAAGCTTCCTTGCACTGAGTTACATAATCATATTGACAAAATGAAAATAGAACCAAATAAAATAGTTATAACCAGCACCATTTGGTTCACAGCATACTTACCTAATCGAGGTCTAGGCCTGAACACCAGTTCTAACCCTTTCACTTCTAGTGCACAATTATCTTGTAACAATGAGCCCCAAGGAACAGAGAGAGAAATTGACTGAATAAATCCTTCTGTAACTTCTAGAGGTGCATCTGCAGACTCCAAAATTTCATTGAGACTCTAAGGAAAGAATGGAAGTTCATTTTTAAAATTATATTTGAAAATCGCTTATATATAAAACTGAACACAGTATAATATACAATTTAGTAATAAGAGAGCAAGTTGGAATACTATACATACTTTTATTTTAAACCAAACATTTGAATGTCTACTATGTGGAAGACACTACATCACTGTGCTTACTCTTTACTTCTTATCTCACACATTAACAAAAGGTATGTTGAGATTCAGGGATGGATTATGTTCTCCATATACCCCAGGGAACATCTAGCATAGTGTTAAGCATATTGGGAGAAAATATGTTAGAAAGGGAAAAACATTCACTGACCTGGAGTCCCAAGTCCCACTTGCTCTTTATGAACTGCAATTTACAAAATGAGAATAATAATACTTGTGCTACCTATCCCACAGGGCTGTTTTGAGATTTAAATGGTATAACACATGTAAAGTGGTTTGTAAACCTCAAGAAGGGGTGTGCTGGTAAATGTTTAACAACCAGCTCTCAAAAAAAGCAAGAGATACTTTTAAGTATAACCTGCATCGTTAACATTTCCTCCATCACTTTCTTAATCCTAAAGAATCAACAAAACAATAAATCAAGGCCATATTTGTAGCATTTGCTGATTTCTGAAGTATAAAAGTTCACACTAAAATTTTAACAATTGCCTCTGGAAAATTGATAGGCAACTGGCTGCAATACATCCCCTGAGGAGATATTATATATAGTCAACCTATAAAGTAGGGCATTCATACATATGGTGACTAATTAAAGACAGCTGGAAGGTTCTTCCCCATGAGAGTCACTTCTCCTCCACATCTCAAAACTCACTCATATCCCCCATCCTTTCCTTCATTTCAGTCTAATGAAATGCTCCTCTGGAAGATGAACCTCTCTACATGTATCCTTGATCCCATCCCCTCCCATTTCTCTTCAGCAAAACAGGCCCAACAATCCTCTCCCCATTCTCTCTAATTCTATCTTTTGCTATTACTGGTTCCTTCCCTGCTGTCTACAAATATACCCATCTTCCTCTCTCATCCTTAAAAGTCCTCATAGATGTAAAATGCTACCCTCATCCAGAGAAAGAACTTAGGAGTCTGAATGCAGATGGAAGCATACGATTTGATCACCTTTTCTTTTGTATTTTGTTTCTACTTTCTAGTGATTCCTCCCACTAGTTCTAACTCTTCTTTACATCACGACTAATGTGAAAATATGCTTCATGGGAATGTATAAATAGAGCCTATATCAGATGGCATGCTGTCTTGGGGAAGGGGGAGGAGAAGAAGGGGGAGAAAATTTAAAACTAAAAATCTTATGGAAGTGAATGTTGAAAACTAAAAATAAATTATTTATAAAAAAAAATCCTCATAAACACTACCATCTCTCAAGTTCCCATCCTATCTTTACTCCCTTTTTTTAGCCAAACTCCTAGAAAAAATTGTATACACTCTTGTCTGTCACTTCCTCTCTTTTCATTCACTTCTCAACTCTTTTGCAATCTAGCTTCCAATCTCATTATTCAACTGAAACTGCTCTAGTTAGTTACCAAAAATCTCAATTGTCAAAACTAACTTTTCTCAACCTCATCTTTCTAAACTTCTGTTGAAACACTTAACACTGTTGACCACCCTCTCCTCCATGTTACTCTCTCTCGTCTAAGTCTTTATAACACTGTTCCACCTTGGCTCTCCTCCCAGTATGCAACTGCTTACTGGATATCTCAAATCCAACACAATACACGAAAGAATTCATCTCTCTCCCCCAAACCAACTCTTCTTCTAAACTCCCCTACTGTCATCAAGAGTATCACCATCCTTTCTAGTCATCCAAACTGGTAATCATGGCATTATCCTTTACTCCTCACTATCCCTCACCCCCCATATTTAATCACTTTCCAAATCTTGTCACTTCTACTTCCCTATCTCTCACATGGCCTCATCTCTCTACTCACAAGCCACCATCTGAAGTTAGGCCCCAATCATCTTTCACTTGGTCTACTGCAACAACTTCCTAATTGGTTTTCCTGCTTCAAATCTAACCTCACTACTATCCATTTTCCACAAAGCTACTAGTAGTTTTTCTGAAATACAGGCCTGACCATGTCACTTCCTCAATCAATAAACTCCAAACACTTGTGACTGTCTTTAGAATCAAATACAAATTTCTCTGTTTGGTTTTTAAAGCCCAATAAAACCTGGCCCTGGTCTACCTTTCCAAAGTCTTTTAGCACTGCTGACAGACTGGCTTTCTTAGTACTCCTCAAACACAATGTGCTATGTCAGATTTTTACACTGGCAGTCTCCCATGTCTAGAATGCACTCTTCCATGACTAGAATGTACCAGTTAGATCCCTTTTTCCTTCAAAATTCAGTTCAGGCACCAACATCAACATATGAAGTCTTTCCAGATCCCATGGCTCCTAATTCCCTCCAAAATCACTTTGTACATATTCTGTATATATATATATATACACACATGTTGTCTTGTCCAAGAGAATGCAAGCTCCTTGAGGAAGGGGACTTTTTCATTTTTATTTTTATATTCTCAGTGCAGAGTGTCTGGGCCCTAATAGGCGCTTATTAGGGGAAAAAAAGGGAATATGCATTGATATAGCTTATTCTATGTGCCAGGCACTGTGGGAAGCATTTTTTTGTAAACATTCTCTCATTTGATCTTCACAACAACCCTATAAGGTAGATGCTTTATAAATGCTTGTTGATTGATACTTGGGCATCAGCTACATGCTATCAAAAAAGACACAGAAGGGGCAGCTAGGTGGCGCAGTGGATAGAACATCGGCCCTGGATTCAAGAGGACCTGAGTTCAAATCCACCTTCAGATATGAAAAAAAAAAAAAACCCACTTACTAGCTGTATGACCCTGGGCAAGTCACTTAACTCCACTGCCTATCCCCCCCCAAAAAAAAAGGACATAGAGAATGCCTGACTTCCCAGAAGCCAGTTCTCTAGTTCAGCTCTCAAACATACCAAGATTCTCTCTCTACACCCTCCATGGGAATCAGAATGATACACTGGAATGAGTGCAGGATTTTAAGTTAGAGGGCTTGGGTTCAAATACTAACTCTGTTGCTTAGTGATCTGGGCAAAGTCATCTTTTATCTCTGAGCTTCGGTTTTTCTAATGTTTAAAATGATGGCTGGGTTACATCGCTTCTAAAGTTCCTTCCAACTTAAATTTATACTCTTATAATCCTAAGCTTTACATCTTCTTCATTACTGCCAAATTTCCAAAATTTAGCTAGTTAAAAGGACCTGTGCTTTAAGCTTAAAACAAGTTGCTAGAGTACAAACTAACAGATTTGCAAAATGAAACAATAAGTCTAAATTGTAATGATTATGCAAGTTAGAGGCAAGATGACCTGGTATAATTTTAACTAAAAAAAGATCAAATTCCCCTAATATATATTGGAATCTAAAGGAGAAATGGATAATTTAACCATTCTACCCCTTCCAGCTATTGTCCCATCTGTCTCCTCCCCTTCATCCCAATAGTCCAAAATTACAATGGATCTATAATCTCATAAAGATGAATAGTCCTTCCTATGATGATAATTGCAACCTGATTCATACTTGCCTATCCTACACATATTTATATCCAGTGGTGAACATGCAGGTATCAAACATTCACTGTGCTGGGGGTCTTCCTCTAGCCTCCCTGACGTGGCACGGTTATCAACAGAGCATGCAAGATGCATGTCAGTTATCCCTCACTCTCATACAAGTCCAGATCATCCTTTTTTTCTACTTACACATTTCTCTGACGACATATTTTATAACACCTCTCCAGCATAATTCCTCTTTCATAATGTGTTGAACCCTGTTTATTCAACCATTGAATTTTGTTTTAATTCTGAACTTAACACACAAAAAAGAGCATTTCCATATACAATGGACACAGTAAGAGGATTCTACATAAAAACATGAATTTCTAAATCACACTGCTTGCTTTTTTTTAAGCATAGAGTAAATTCTACCCATGTATTTCAAAACTGCTTTGCTTATGCTTACTTTCGAACTTTGTGCATTTAAAAAATATTTCACCAGCCCTCATCACTACTACTAATCCTACTCTCCCTTAATACTGCTCCCCCCACCAATTTACTAAAAGGGGGGAAAAAATCCTTATAAAAAAATAAGCCTAGTCAAACAGAATGAATCCACAAGGAGTCATGTTTAGAAAATGTGTGACTTGGTACCTTAAGTTCATCTTGAGGACCTAGAGGGCCACGTGTGACCTCAAGGCCACAGGTTCCCCATCCCTTCCTTACACATTCTGCCATATTTGTACATAATCTTATTGCACCCTAACTATGGAACAGTAAGCCCCAGCTCTTTCTTCTTCCTTTTTATACTAGTCCTCCTTTTGCCCTCTCTTCTTTTTCCCCTATGAAAACACTCAGAGCAGAAGTAATTCTTTCCCCCTTCCCTACCAGGACCTCTTTTTATTTAACTCCCTCAAATCTTTTGAAGACATCCTAAGGTTCTGAAGAGATTTCTTCTCCCCCTCTAAAATATTAGCACTGTATCATCATACGGCTCCTTCGAATTGCTCAAATACCTTTACCTTTCTCTAGACTCCAGCTCAGGTCTTTTCATCATAAATGCTTGAACGTACTCTGTTCTGTTAAAGGACCATTTCCCCCCACGGGATTACACTCAGCTTTGCAAGGTAAATTATTCTTGGTTATAAACCTATATTTTTTGTGTTCTGAAGTTCTATGTTCCATGATCTCTCATTTTTAGCAGAAGTTGCCAGGTTTTGTGTGATCTTGACTGCAGTTCCTTGTATATAAGTTGTTTCTTTCTAGATGCTTGCACATTTTTTTTTCTTTGAGATGGGAATTCTGGATTTTGACTACGATATTTCTGGGAGTGTCATTTTCTTTTGGGGTTCCTTTCAGGAGGTGAACAGTGGATTGTTTCTATCTTCTCTTTACCCTTTGGCTCTAACAGATCTGGCCAGTTATCTTGAAATAC